GCACAGGAGAAGACTGGGACACTGTCAGGCTGGTGAAAGGTGCCCGGGCCAGGCAGGAGGGGTCACGCTCCTGCTGCAGCCTCAGGAAGGGGGCTTCCCTCCCATGGGATGAGTGCCAGGGGAGCAGCATCAGCCCCCAGATCACAAGGAGCAGGTGAACTTGCTCCATGTTGCTCTTACCTTCACAGTGCCCTCCTCGCCCTCCTGCCAGACGTAGCCCATCGTGATGAAGCTGAGCACCAGATGCGCCAAGTGCAGCTCCTCGTGCCCCCGGAGGTGCCGGGCGCTCAGCTGCGGCATCTGCCAGGGAGACCCTTGGGAGCAAGGCGCCCTGCAGGCCATGCCACGGGCCCCCTTTGGCTGCCCCGCCAGCCGGGGAGAGACCCTCCTAGTGCCTCTCCCTGCCTTCGCTGTCTCCCTGCGAGCCTCCGTTCCCTCCCACCCCTGCGGGATTTGCTACTGATTCGCTGTTGCTGGTTTGTGAGCATTGACAGAACTGCAGGATTTTACCCAGAAAGGTGTCCCTCTCCCTTGCACTGGGAGGGACACGAGAGCGGCTGACTCTGCGTGCCGGAGGGGTCTGGCCGGGCTGGGGGGCTCCCGGAGTGCCTGGGCTCCTCGGTGTGGAGCGTGGCCGGGGTGAGGCACGGCTCTCGTGACATCTAGAGGGTTTCCCCTGCCACCGCACGCAGCTCCAGCCCTTGCTGCCTTGCCTGGCTGGTGCGACTTAGGATCTGCTGTAGGAGTTATTTCTGTACCAACATTAAGGCTTTGCTTTTGCACGGTATTAGTCCTGTCTGTGTGAGTCCTTGCTGAGGACACGGCTTTGCTGTTGGTTTGCTTTTCCATGTGTTCAGCAGATGCTGCTGTGTCAGACCAAGGTTTGAGAGTGCTCAAACCAGGAGAGAGAACGCAGGTACCTGGTAAACTTGTGAGCGGAGCCGATGGCTCGTGATCAGCTGAGGCAGGTCGTGGGCAATCTCCATCCAGGGACCGTAGGGCGCCGGCAGCTCTGTCTTGGTAGAGAGAGGCGAGAAGGAGGGCTGTTAATGCAGAGACTGGCAGCACACGGTGTTGCAAGGCTGTGTCTCTTCTCTCCCTCCGGTTCCTGAGCAGCTCAGGACTGAAGCAGGAGAAGATGCGTCCAGGGGTTAAATCTGGGATCAGCAGAGCTGGCCATGGAGCTGTGCAAGAAGCAGGGACAGGCTCAGGGGAGAGTGCAGCCCCCTCCCCTAAAGAGGAGGTTTCAGGCTGTTCTGTTTTCAGGGGGACATGCTGCTGCCGCTGTCCTTCGCGAAACAGCAAGAGGTTGTGAGGAAGGGGACCCGGAGCAGCCCAGTGTGGGCAGGTGGCAGCTGAAGGGGGACAGGTCACAGCAAACGTGGCACTGCCAGCGCCAAGCCTGGGAAGAAGTCACAGGGCTTAGAGGTGATGAGTCGGTTGAGAGAGCCAGGCTGGCTGCCCCGGACCCTGGGCTTTGGCGGGGGCGGAGGGGAGCACGTCCCCTGCGCACCCAAGCGTTGGGTGCAGCGGGACAGCCAAAGTGGTCCTGCACCGATGCAGTCTGGGGACCAGCATGGCCCTCAGGGAGTTGCTGCAAAGGCGGATGGAGCCTGTCTGTCCGGAGGGTGACCCTGTGCTGGGACAGGAGCAGGAGGGAACAGAGGGCTTGGAGATAAGCCCAGCCCCAGGTAAACTCTCCAGAGTTGAGGCCGGCTGAGAGGCAACACCCAAACTCTCCTGCTCCGGACCCCGCTCAGGCTGTAACGCAGAAGAGCCGTACGGTCTGGAGAAAAGGGAATCGGGGGAGCGATGGCAGCTGGGGGATGCACAGCGGGGCTGGAGCGGGACTGTGACTTGCTGCTGGGGCTGGGCAGCCCCGGGGAGGGCTGTGCCAGACATTGCCTGGCCGGGGAGGACTGGGGGTCCTTCGCCGTCCTGCTCCGTCACGGTTGCAAAGGTTTTCCTGGGGTTCTGGCAGGGCTGCGCTTGCGCCTGCAGGGAAGGGAGGGGAGGGGATGCCGCCAGCCCCGGCTCCCACCATCCATCCAGCCTTGCACATCGCGCTAAAGGTTTGTGTCTCATTCCCCCTCTTGTAATACCAGCCTGTGTAATTGTGAATTAATGGATGATAAACAAGTATCTGCCTGTCCCTGAGCACTCCCACTGTGAAGTGAGCCCAGTGATAAATGGCACCACTTTCAGCACGGGAGATCTGCAGTCTGACTGCTCTCCTCATACTCCCTGAAATCCTGTAAAGCCAAGGCCAATGTGTGAATTGCAAAGCTCCATCTCCTCTCCCCTGTGCCACTTGCTACAGCCAGTTTAATAATTTTTAAAGCGAGGGGTTTGTCCTATGAAACTGTCTAAGCCAAAACAGCATATGCCTTCCTCATGGCTTTTTATAAACTGTTATAGAGTAGCGTTAAATTGAAACCCAACCAGAAAGACCCCCACCAACCCCTCTATTTTTCTGTTCTGTCTCTTGTAGCATGCAGATGCGGGGGCACAGCCGTCTCCTACCAGAGGATCGGGAAGAAGGAAGCCGTACTCCTCGGAGAGCTGAAACCTGGTCAGCGCCAGAGGCAGCGGGGTCTCCTCCGTGCCATCGCCGGCCTCCATCACCGCAAGGTTGGGACGTGCTCTGCCTCGGCAGAGATGCACCGGCTCCCCGCTCCTGGTATGTGCTGAGCCAGCGCCGCACGCCCCGGCTGCAGGAGTGTACCTTGTCCCGGGGGGAGCCAGGGCCCGGCCGCCCAATGGCCGGAGGGTCCGAGCAAACGCGGTTAAAGGTTGCCGATAAGGCGTCACAGAGCAAACACTGAGCTCCATCCACCTATGGGGAAGGCTCAGGGAAGCTCCCTCACTGTGGGGAGGGGCTGTGAGCTGCCTCCCCCCGGGACCTCCCCTCGGAGCTGCAGGGATGCTCCAGGCTCCCAAGGGAGGCTGCATGGAAGCGGCCCAGGGTGCTTTAGGCTGGCAGCAGCGCAGGGACGCTGTCTCTGCAGCTGGGTTTCTCCAGGATGCTGGCAGTGCCAAACTCACGTCCTGTGTGCTGTGCTTGGTCCGCAGGAGCTGTGCAAGAACCAGGGACTGTCCACATCCACGCTGGAGGCTGCAGAGCCCGAGCACACCATGAGTGCAGCACAGACCCCACACTGCGGCACGGACGTGCAGCCACAGATGTGTGTTGGTGGCTCCAGGAACTGCCCGCAGCTCCCGTCAGCTGTGTGACACCCCCCAGGTGTCAGGGGACCTTTGTCCCCGCAGGAGCGGTATACGAGGCACGCACTGTATCCTCAGCCCTGTGCTTCCATGAAGTGCTACTGATGTATGCACTAACAAGATGCCCAGCACAGCCAAAATAAATTAATGGGAGCCACATCCAAAGCAGCTGCCCCAGAAGTAAGCGCTGCGTGGCAGGGAGTGAATCTCCCTAATCCACCTTTCGTGTCACTTAAGGGTTTATCTGCATTTCCAGCGAACTGTCTAATGACTGAACGTGAGCTGATGTTGCCATTAAATTCCCAGTGCCAAACAAAGTGCAAGACTGTAATGACGGTTTTAATTGGCAGTAGTGAATGGTGTGCTGTTAGCGTGCCTGCACCGGAGCACCAGCCATGCCCTCTGCGCGGCTGCATGCACCCACCCCCGGGGAGGCAGAGTGGACAGTGATGCACAAAGGGTAATTAGACCTCCTTGCAACGAGGGTCTGCAGGCTTCTGACCTAATTGCAATGCACAGGAGCAAAACTCCCCACCCGTTGGATGGTTAATGCTGGCGAGGCTCATGCCGCTGTCTGGCTGGAGATGAACGAAATGAGGCTGAAAGAGACCTCATGGCAGAGGCTGCTGTTTCCCCGCGTTTCAGTGCAGTGCTGCCTTTGTCCCCCCAGCAGATCGGTCCCCTCCCTGCGGCGGGTGCTGCTGCCATTGCAGCATGGGAAAGCGCAGGACTGCAGCGACGCGGTGCCAGTGCTGGTGCCGTTTGCTCTCTGCACCTCAGGGACCAAGGGGCCCCAAGGTGGGGGTACAACTGTGCAAGTCTTTCTCGAGGGAAGGCTGGAGGGGTTTTGTGTGCCTGGGTTTGCCACTGCTCGGCAGGGCACCCCGAGCCCACCCAAGTGTGAGGGTGAGTGCTGCGGTTTGCCTGTCCAGGGGACGTGGGCTGCAGCCAGAGCGGGGAGGGGGCCGCCCGGCACAGGGGGGTTTCCTGGCGCGACGCCTGCCCTGATGAGTC